ATCTGATATGTCACTTCCTTTAATTTTACTGTTATTTCCTTTTCCATATTCTTTCAGCTTTCCAGCACCCTTCTTTGGGCTTTGTTTTCCTTTAGTGGACATCATGGTCTCTCCAATTTGAAATGTTTTTCTACAAAATCAAAAGTTATTAACCTGAAACGATTAAAATATAATTTATCAAGGTACATAAGTCTCTCAATAATGCTGCATTAATTCCTAATGTTATACACAGACAGACTGAAACATCACTAAACCCAATGCTGATATAGTTCATCAGTTATACATGAGAATTATTTCTGTACATTATCTTAAAAGAATACTGTACAAATCATGTGACAATGGATTTAGGAATCTGGGAGGCATAAATTTACAATATATGATGTTATCAATAAAAAATTCTTTAAACATTTCCAATGCTCAGTGATTGAGATGAATGCTCAAAATTTATTTCTTATGTACTTCCATGTGACAATCCATTTTAGTGATGAAACTCAGACTTTTGTGGAAATTGTACCAAAACCTGATTGTTCTCAACAGACCTCTTGACCATCACATAAAGAAGAGGTATAATTATAATTACAATGTATTTACATTCCACAGATCTTCATTTGACATAAGCCAAGGATATACAACATGTCACACAGATGGCTGTCTTCTTGTTTGCAGCATTATGTAGTCTGGTAGAAGTTAGTAAAGTTTCAGAGGTCTTTGCTGCCTCCATCATCAAGGCGATAAGTGGCTCAACCCCACTCATTGCTCTGATGTGCACTATTCAATTTATTATCAAATTTTTAACTTGTTTTATCATAACCTATATCCAGATTAAAAATGTTGTTATTCACAAATTTGAAGTTCGTTTTGTAACAATGTAATGCAAGTTTATTTACTTCAATATATTTCTTCAAGTTCGCTTTGCATCATACATGCAATGCATTCATCGAAATACAGTTACCAAATACATTGGTTTCAATGGTCTGTAACTGGCCTAGTAATCTGAAATAAAACCAAAATTCGGTCACACGTTAAAGGGATTGAGTACGTCAGAAATTTCAAGTTACTGTCGGTAATTAAATAAACCTAAAATTCCATAATTATATATGATCACAGGCCTGGAAGATGTTCCGAATTCAATGTACACATATTTCATAGAACCTATAAGAATGTAATCATAAAATAAATATTACGGAAATTACAAATTAAATGAAGCATGCAAACAGGTCGAGTTACATACACACAATGCTTTCATCGGTCTCTGAAAACCAGTTTCAAATATCTTTCTTTACCTAATCCGTACACATGTCATGGTAAACATTACATTTTAAAGTCCAGACATAAACATTCACAAACACCACTGACAAATCACAATGGCCGAGCTCATAAATACAGCAAATAGACTCGATCAGAGATGATAAACGATCCTACGATTTCATATAGTATGAAAGAAAGCTATAAATAAAGTACTGAATTAAGCACAATTGTGTGTAATGGTTTCATCATCATGTACAGTGTTTTTATTTACACAAATGCAATTTACACGACAAGTGGTAGCATTGAGCATGATCGAATGAAAATCAGAGGTAGATAATATCGCATAATTTGATCGTTGACTATCGAGTAATTAGATTATTTAACCTTACTACACTTAATTAATATATTCCCTTTGTCCTTTTTGATACACAAAAGTTTCTGAACAACGTAGGAGATAACTGCTAGCAAAGACAATAAACATATTTACTAGGTATGCGACCGAGCAGTTCGAGCTAGTATTTGTCATACACATAGGTTTTTCTCGACTGAAGTCAATAACTCTCGCATTCACAGATTAATAGAGACTTGAAATCTTCTGTACAGCTGTTGCGTTAAAAGTTGGTATTAGGCTCGATGCACACGAGCGAGAAAATGTCGCGCGAGCTCGCAGCGAGGAAACCCGTGACAGTGCACACGTAGCGTCATCGCTGCGAGTTCGCCGAAAAACTCCCACCAGTACTACATTGGATGGCAACCAAAATGGATGTGTACTGAAGAAAACGTGTAGTTTTGCCTATTTCGTTTATGAATACATCCTTAAAAAACGCAATAGGAAGTATTGGACACGCCCGTTGATTAGTTCACTTAAAATAAAAGGGGCGTTCGTGACAATGTTTATAGATTTAAGAGAAGATGAAAGTAAATTTCATAATTATTGTCGTATGAGTATAAAGTCGTTTGATGAGCTAGCAGCAAAACTGGATGCATCCAACAAAAGTAAAGATTCTGCGATGAGGCTTGCAATACCTCCTCTAGAAATGCTGGTTGTGACTCTGAGCAGTTGCGAGGGTTGCGAAGCACGTGTGCACTGCCCAATGCTTTCACACAGTCTGCTGCTTCGCGGCGATCGGCGAACTCGCTGCGAAGCAGCAGATGTTGGCGAGCGCAAATTGCTCGCCGCATCACCGCCATAGTGTGCATTGCTCCACATGTACTGCTAAAACGCGCGAGAAAATGACGCGGCTAGCTCTCGAAAATAACTCGCTCGTGTGCATCGAGCCTTAGATGTATGGATACTGCTGGCTCCGCGGTAGGGGAATACTACAAACATATTAAATCGAATGATCAAAACTGCTTATGTGGGTTAAGAACCCTTGGATCACAAGGCTTTTGGTTGGCTCTGCACGTTAGAAGCCCTGGTACTTGGGTATTGTCTAGAAGTGGTCTCAGTGGAGACTAGCAGAAAGATGAATGACACAATAATGTATGGGCCCATCAGATGTTCTTCACTTGCACAAAAATGTAAATAACATGCAAAAAGTACACCAAAGAATTGAGAACTCTCAGTCTTTAGCATAAGTAATTTAGAACATGTGGCAGTAGGGTAAAGTAATTGTTCCAGTCATTTACTTAAGAGTTGTTCCAAAGAAAGCCCTAAAGGTTGCAACCCTTTTTGAGTGAACTTGGAGAAATTCCAATGAGATCTTCATGGGATGCATGCCCGTCTCAGGGAGCAGTCCAGGGGGGACAGACCTAGTGTGTTTTAAAATGTGATGGTGTAATCCAAAGTGTCCAAAGGAAGCCTGGAAAATGGTCTGAATGCTAAGCTTCGGAGAGATGGTGGCAATCATGGTTTGGAGCACTCAGAGCACTACAGTATATATATATATATATATACACACATACATACACACACACACACACTGTGAAAGTGGTGACAGTAGAATTCAAGGTACTGTACTAGCACTTACCTGGAAAGGCTGAGAGAAACCATGAAAAATCTTGGGCAGGGCAGCTGGTCTCACAGCAGAGAATTAAACCAGAGTCTTCTGAATATGAAGCAGGAGTGATAACCACTCAACCATTTAGTACTGCAGTCTGGAAGGAGTTTTAACCACTTGCCTTACTGATTTTTTTTCAAAACATGGAGCAAAGAAAAAGAAACATATTATTTTATTTAATTCTTTAATCTTTGAACATAAATAAAATAATGTAAGGGAGTCATTTCTTGAATATACTTCATGACAACAAAATCTTCTGTTTATAAACAGTTTCATTATTATCCTGAATTATCTCTGGGTTTGCTTAGATGTTTTGTGTTGCAATGGCAGACCTGAATGCACTTCCACCCACTGTTGAGCTTACTGCATATCAAAAGAACATACAAATCTGAGTCTATTTTCTGCTTTTCATATAAAAGCACCACTACCAGACTCATCGAGAGAAATGTTTACCACTTAAATTTCATAACTGCCAGAAAGCAAGGCGATGAAGGATGAGGAGTACAAGGGGTTGCACTCTAAGATGACTATCAGAACAGCAGTAATGCACCAACAGAATACACGACTCAGGCTGTCTGTACTTGGAATAAATGTTTTTTGAACTGAGATAACCACATAATACATACAGCATAACTTCCATAACTAATACTATGATGCATCACTATTTATGTTTGTCTGCTCTCCACTCTTTATATTTATCAGTCACAGTTTTTATAAGAACTTTAAAATAACAAACCAATACTATGCAATTTGCATCACAACCACTTCCAAAATCCTGCCAACTGATTCCTACTAGCAAGATCAAATTATTACTACAAACAAAATAAATCAGGATAATATATTTCTAGATTGAGTTAAATCTGGTATAATAAGAGAAATGGCTTACTCTATAAAGCTCACTGGAGAAATGAGATGTTCGTGCAAGTGTACAAAAAGAAGGCAAATTAAGAAATATTCAACATATTTTATTTCATAATGTGTAACCAGAAAGTGTCCAGTACATGCTGACTATTGAATCTAGATATTTAAACAGTCATACACACTTTTTACCTTCTGGCAACACTTAAAGATCTCAATGTTTAGTGTTGGAAGATAAGTTACACAATGTCAAAAATGAAAATATTATAAAAAGTTGGCGTATTTGGAATTACCTTCAGCTGCATACGATACAAAAGTCTAATAAAAAAAAGTGAACCATCTGTGAGCAATTCTTATATCCCAATATAATGTAGTGGGATAAGCATGGTGTTAAAATTGTTCAACTTAGACAGAAATAAATTGTGATTCTGTTTATTTGATTTTTAAGTACCAACATAATAGAAGCAGAAACAGAATCACAAGTATTGGAATTCTATCCCCTATGGCACATGCTGTCAAATTTCACACACAGGGATAAGTTACAGAGAGAGAAAAGACTATAAAAATAACGTTCCAGTCTGCACCATATGATGTGTAATCAGCCACTTTACTTCAGAGAAGAAGTCCAACATTTTTCTCTCTCCCCCATTAGAGAATAACATAATGGCAACCCATTGTTAGTAGATGTAATACATCTACAGAGCCATTAGGGCCCATGGTGGTTAGTCAGTGTAAACCCATCTCATCACCATTGCACTAAATGTAGTTGCACCAGGAAAGTTAAGTCAGTGATCCATCAAGAATTGTTGTGACTAAATGCTGCTAAATTTTGCCATGCAAATGTTCTGTCTGTCAGAATAAAATACTTGTATCAACTCTTGTCCAGTCTTGTCTTGCTTCTGAATGGCAGAACATGTCAGTAATAGGAGACTGCCACATGGGTCACTCTGAACTGACTTTCCATGTACAACAATGTGAACAAAACTGGTGATGAGTTTGATGACTCTTGCTCTACATCCTTCATAGGCCAGCGCTTTTCCTTGGAGGTGTAGCACCATGGGTATATAAGTGTTTGTGTGTAAAACAATAGTGGGTACCCTTTACACCAGTTTTTCCAAAATTTTAAACATTTGCATACGCCTCTTGGGGATCTCAGACTTACTGGCATGCCCGCTCTCCAAATTATATCAGAATCAGTTAACTTGCAAGCAGTCAAACCACATTATAAGTAAGTTTTAGGCACAAATTAAGAAAGGCTATAAGGTAAGCTAAAAAATTTAAAGAAACTTATGAGCTTAATCAGTATTAACAAATTTGTTCGATTTTCTTTATATTAGAGATCATCTGACAGCAGTCAGAACTCTGGAACAATTTTAAATAATTATTTTTATGCTGCATACCCCTTAAAATACTGTAGCATACCACTAGTGGTACACATACCACACCACCTTGGGAAGCAGTGCATTGCACCATTTTCTGATGAAGGGGACAAAATTGACTACTGCTCTGAACTGACATGGCTGATCACTCATGATTATTTAATTTATAGCTGCCATAAAAGCTTCACATCTTGCATGTACCATCTGCTGTTGGTTCTATTGCAAGATTAGCAAATTCAATCGAGGACATACAGATTTTTTTTGGCATTCAACTGAAAGCTAGCACATTAAAACACAAACATTTGTATTATAAATTTACAACCATATGCAACAACTGAAGTAAAATGTAATATAATGAATCTCCAAACATTATACATATGTATGAAAAAAGCATTATGGATAAAAGACATTCAGAGACCAGGAGCTGCAATTAAATATGATGCATAAAAATTCTTTATCTGTACCATGATTAGGGCTCAGCCTTAGAAATATTTAATAAAAAAGTATACACAACAATAAATTTGTTACTATACATCCCCCCAAAAAAAGAGGAGGGTGAGGGTAAAATACTGAGGGTACTGGGTCCTGTTGTCATTTCAACACAAGCTAGAAAGAAATCATTACAGTGCTTGATGTGTGGTTTGGTCCCAACTCCTCCAAATACACAAGTGTAGCTGCTGTCAATTGAAACATAAGGGCACAGCATAGCTTGGACTAGTACTTTTCTACGACCATTGCAGCGCATTCAAAACACAAAGACATTCATGCACGGAACACAACAGGAGCCAGAAAATGTCATCCATAACTGTGTGCACCAGCTATAATAATTGGTAAATTATGTCATAAGATGCTCTTCACAGTCCATCTGCCAACCATTCTTCTGACAAGCCACAGAGTTTTCAGTCTTCCAACAATAAGATCGAGCTGGCACATTATGCTAACATAATGTACACCCAGATACAAAGTTGCCTCAAATAAGCTATCATCTACATCTGCTGCATAGTGCATGAACATGCACTCACCTATGGGAAGGGTTCTTCAAAGTTTTAATTACTGTACATATGATACAAACTTACACGGATCTCCGGACAGTCTCTTTCTGGCCTAGCATTATTTTTAACAAAAGAACAACAAAATAATGGCAAGTCATTTCCAGCAACTTACCGTAATTACAAAGTTAAAATTTTGTAGCAGTATTTTCTAGGAGTTTAATTTTATATAAAAATGGGAGTTTAAAATAATAGCTCTGTAAATCCACCCATAAATCTAGATCCTTGTGAGGGGACTTTTTGACACTTTTTTCTCTAGTATCATATTCGAGGCACTCAATGTTAGGAAACTATTGTGCTTTTAAAAAAGACATCTGGAACTCTTGACTGTCCTAATAGTCTCCATACTCCCAGTATTTCTAGGAGAGAAGGCAGACAGGAGAACATCATGTGCTTGACAAACATCCCATCCACCCTGCCACAGCCGGATTCGCTCATTCACTAATGCACCACCAACATCTTTGTTCAATTGTTCCATCACCTGATCCCAACAGAGAACGTAACATAACAGAACATCACATCACTTGCAGTCCCCTGGATCACAGTTTACAGTTGCATGTGCATGAAGCATATCACAGTCTCTTCTCTTTTTATCTCAGTAGAGATTGGCCAACAGGAGATCAGGTGACTCGCGCCGTCAGCATGTTGATGTCTCCTCTCCATCCAATGTACAACCCACATTTTCCAGTTTGTGAGCCAGATGCATCTTCTTGCAGTGAGGATCTATATCAAGTGCATCCAGGATCTGTAAGTCACAGAGCACACAGGAGTAATCTTTCAAATAAGTTTCTGAAAAGGCAAAAAGGGCTGATGGCAATAATCAGAAGAATGATAAAAATCACAGAATAGTTTCTCTCTGGGCCAAGATTTGAATCCAAAATCCTCCTGAATATGAAGCATAAGTGTTAACCACTTGGCCATGACATTTAGTCTTAAATACTTGTATGTTGAACAAGCATGCAAATTTTCATCTGTTGAAACACAATGTGCTTGCTTTCCTGTGTACAGACATAATAACCTCAGCAAATAATATACGTGAATAAATTTTACTTTCTTTTATAGTAACCAAAGAAATAAGCTAGAGAATTTTTGGTTTAAGACATGGACACAAAGAATGGCCCCCACCCAGGACTACACTAAAACTACTGGAGCACCACCTACCTGATCACTATACTTAGTGACATAGATGTATAGCTCTTTGAGTGCAGATACTGTGTCAAATTCTCCAATCTGAGACACCGAAAGCTGCTGCATGGCTGTGCTCATTTCCTGATCTGTTATTTGGGGCAACATCTGGACGTCATAATAAAAATTTGCTACTGTATGTCGGTAGTGAGGAATATCCTTGGC